CTTTCAACTAAACTGAATTATACAACAACCAAGAATACTAAACTAAGAAAGTGTCATAGTTACTGTTTCATTTGCACAGACATGTTGCTTAAAGTAGTTAAATGAACATAATTAAGACGATAAAATAAAAACACGAAATATAGGCCAGTTGAACTTACCGAACAGAAGACTAAGGATATATATATTGCTTTCCGACTGAAGACAACAGGCAGTTATTCATAAGAACATAGTTTACAGTATAACAAACCTTTCTTCAGTAAAATCATGCACTGACAGTCTATCTGGAAACAATCAACTATGTGAATAAACTCACTACGACTTGAGATATCATCCCAGCATGCAGTGTACGTGCACTGTAACGCAGCCAGACATGGCGGATAAAAATTAAAAAAGAGCAAAATTAGCTACATAATCTAGTTATTTAATTAAAAATACATTATGAAATGACAAAATCTGTGGTTACTTGAACGCACAGATGACCGATATTACACTGGGCCATACATTAAGTTTACATGGTTGCTTGGCGGATAAGTTCACCCGTTAAAATGCCCCAGACAGGTATTCAGTCTCTCACCTACGTGACGTTTCTCTGAACTTACACGGAAAGCAGGTTTTTTCAAAACTAGACCGCGTATGAGCATACCACCGAATTCCGATGGCGCCAGAAGATATAAAAAAAAAGTCATAATCACACAATTTGGTTTGTTTGAATACTTGAAGATGCCATCCGGGCTAAAGAATGCTGTTCAGACTTTCCAGTCATTCATGGACGAAGTTATAAGAGGTTTCAATTTTGTTTTTGTATAGATCGACGATGTTTTGATCGTCAAAGTATCCACAGAAGAGTAAGTACAACATTTACACATCCTTTTGACCATTTCAAAAGCTATTATGTCATAATTAACTCTTCAAAGTCCATATTCGGCGTTCCAGCCTTAGAGTTTCTGGGACACCACGTCGACTCACAAGGCATCGAACCACGACACGAAAATGTAGAAGCTACCCAGAGCGGAATTCATTAAGATCACTACGTTCATTTCTTGGTATGTGCAATGTTTACCGTCGTTTCTTGCCTAATTGCTTAACAACATTACAATCTCTAACAGATCTTTTGAATTAAGATAACAGAGGAACAAACTAATGGGACAAACTCTTCATTTGACCTCCGGATGCAAGAGACTATTTTGATGAAGTAAAGTCTATGATGTCAAATACTTCTATGTTGCATCACTTAAAGTCTGATTCTACAGCACACCTTATTCTCTGCACTGATGCATTTCAGAAAGCTTAAGGGGCAGTATTACAACAATGAGTACACGACATTATGACATCTATAGCATTCTTCTCCAAATGACTATCGCCAGCTCAAGAACGTTACGGTACCTTTTGACGTGAATCACTGGCTATTTATTTAACGGTAAAGCATTCACCTTCCTGTTACAAGGACGTGAATTTACCATAATAACCGACCATAAACCCTTATTTTTTTAATCGTCTATAGATCCTCATCATATTAAAAGAGTAATATTTGAACGAAGAATATTCTTTCCGATAAACCCTCTTCAGGTTCTTCAATCATATATCTAGATTATCGATCCGAAAAAACGGCGAAGTTATGGGCAACAAAGTCTTGAAGTTTAATTGAAAACAATGAGGAATGAACTAAGTAGTAAGCTTCATCTAGAGTCATTGCTGTGATGACTGTGCGGTCGACCAGTAACTACATTAATGATGATAAAGTAGTTACGTCTAAAAATTAATGTTTTAATGTATTAAATATAATTTATAAACACAAGGGAAAGTTACGAACGTTACTTAAATTGACAGGCCTTGGCGTGTTCAACTGTATTTGGTGTGATAATCCACAATTTCGGGTGATTCATAATTCCAATAAAGGTTTTCAAAATTCCAGCGGTATAGTCAGGTGGGATATTTAATGGAAATATGACTGTGGTCTATAAATATAGATAACAAATATCTTTAGAGTTCAGTTATCGTAACAACAGGCATTTGAGAACGTGTATTTGCGAGTAGTTATCAGTGTGTCGTGCTATGAAGGATCCAAAACGGAAGAGAAAATACTCAAGGCCATGCAATTTTAAACAACTTTTACGATCATTTGTAGTAAATGTACAGATTATGAGAATTAACAAAAGAAATACAAATAATATCACAAACTAATTACAAAATAAGTTTGTAGTGGCTTCCTCTACAACTGTAAACTTCAAGCTTAGATACAAAAATGTGTTGGGTGTGGTTAGGAGCTCCGTTTTGTCGGAAACAAGGTTACGTAAAAGACGCTTAGCAGAAGTTCATTTATTATATTTAAACTCTACCATGATAGTTGTTGATTTACAACTTCGAAGTCTATGGATCACTGTGCATGGCTGTGATAATTTATTCGACAACATGTGTTTAATATTCTCACAGAAACCTCTTTGACGCGATGTTGTATTTGGGAAAACCGTCATTACAATACGAAATTCGTACTACAGTCTGAGATTCTGGCCATAAGCTAACTGGCTGATGCATTCCAGGTGAGGTTCGGATTTAGACAGTATTGCTTACTGTCTCTTACTTCTGGTGGTTGGCTGGATTATGAAGTCCTTCACATGAGAGGGGGAAGCACAGAACACAATAGACAGTTTGGACGCAATTAGACCATTCGGACTTTAAGTATGACGTAGACGTTCCATCCATTGACAGGAACGATTGCAAATGAAAATAGTCATTCTAGCATTAGCATCTACTTAAGTCTGTATTATTGATCAGATGCTCATAGTTTTTATCGCCCGGAGTGTTGCTTGATTATATTACCATAATTGCATTTCAGAGATTAATGGTGAAGATGTCAAAAATCAGGAAATGAGTGATAACATGAGAGTAAAATTAAAGGCAGGGAATAGTGTAGTCGTAACCAAGCTCAAAAAGTCAACGGAAAAGTTTCTGAAAAAGCTTAGACATTAATAAAATCATTTCCTTCTCTTTTCTAATTGATTGGAATATGGAGCGGCCAGGACTAATAAACCCGATTCTATTTGAAATTCAAGGTCTTAGGATAGACAAGTCCGTTTTCTCTCATTCTCTACTGAGAAGTACAGTTGGAATTCCAAGATGATCATGTTCTTTACACAGGTAGGTAATAAAACCTAAAATATCAGAATCTTATGATTAGTGTCTAATAAAATGGTTTAGGCGTTCAAAAGATCAAAAAGGATACCAGTCCGAATATGGTTTTACCGATCTGATCACTTAACGATCTTACAAACAAAGAAACTGCATTTTCTTCGCTAAACGTTGATTAGAGAACCAGAATAAACAATATTCTGGGGTTTTTGGAAGCAGGAGAACCAAAGTCATGATCCTAAACTTTTATATTTCTTACAACTGAAATAAGGTTTCATGCAATTGGTTCCCTTTATGAATTTGAATAGAGCAAGAACAAACATTGATGCAGAATAGTATGAATTCATATTATTTCGAGGTTTCTCGTCAGCTGCTTACAAACCAAAATTGTGATAGAATTTTTACATGGAGATAGTGTGAAAACATTTGACATAAATGAGTGTAAATATATATATATATATATATATATATATATATATATATATATATATATATATATATATATATATATATATAGTTATTATTGTAATCCAGTTATGTCAAATGTTTTCACACTATCTCCATGTAAAAATTCTATCACAATTTTGGTTTGTAAGCAGCTGACGAGAAACCTCGAAATAATATGAATTCATACTATTCTGCATCAATGTTTGTTCTTGCTCTATTGAAATAAGGTTCATCGCGGACTGAGAGATTATATCCGAGCTTCGAAATCATTTGCTGTTTTCGTGTAGTGTGTTGAGTCAACTCAATGGGTTACATTTGAGAACATCAGTTATAAATTACAATCGAAGAAAAGCCAAGTGGGTAATGTACTGTTTTCCTGGTCACACAGCAGAACATTCCAGACCTTGAATATAGTGCTAGGTTCAAGCATCTAGTTCAAATCTCATTCAGGGCAAATACAATTTTATTAGTAACTAAACAGAAGACACCAAGTTTCTGATTGGATTTGTGGTGGACCAGATAATATATGAACTCAAAAATGATAATAGAGTTATGTGGTAGGCATTGGAATCACATTTGTTGAAGTAAGGCTTCGTCTAATTTGTAGGGACCCCGCTAACTGTTTCATGTGTCGTAGCAACTGTGACGGTCTCTTGTCCCCAAGTTCACATGATGTGAGTAGTTGTTGTAATCGTGATGTACGCTGGATTGCTGCAGCTTTACTCTTGTCATAAGGATCAGTTTCTGGTACCTGATCAATCAAGTTACCAACTTCCGTAGCTATTTCAATGGGCAGTGCACCGACAACATAAGCATATTTGGTCGCCTGGGAGCGTATGCATCTCGCTAAAAAGAAAGTTTGTACATGTGCGAACCAGATCCTGGGGTTGTTAGCACCGTATGTCGATGGTCTGAATTTGGAAATAGAATTGACTGAACTTAAAATATTATCATCTGACTGTGATGAGTTGAGGGGATTCAATGTGGGACAATCTATATCGATAAGCTTATTCGGAGAGTACATGATGCGAAAAACAAAATAAATACAAATAACATCAAAAACTGTTCACGAAATAGGCTTGTCAGACATATCTTCATAGACCTCCCTATATTCCATGTACTGTGTCTGAAACGTTGAGAGCATTTTCCTTATCACAGATAGCAACGTGGTCTTAAATTAAAATAACTGTTTGAGTGAAAACGTGCCACATTCGTCTACTCTTATTACTTCCAAAATCACTTAAATTTTTTTAAAACCTAAGCAGACCAAATGTTTCAGTTTCCGTCTTCACATGGCGATCCAGCACCTGAAAGCTGGGAAAATTGTAACAGCCTCATCATTTAACACCTTTAGGAATAAAATGAACTGTGTATTTATAAAATGCAAGGATTAAGAAAGGTAATATGAGTGTTTTTGAAATGATTTCCCGACCTTGAGATTTTGAAGCGGTGCTTTAGTGTTTAACGTTACCGTCATGGTGTTAGACTTGGATCTTTTCAGAGTCGATAAAGGAGGTGATCCTGAAATTATTCGTTCCAATGAGATAAAAAGATTCAGAGGTACCAAACGTGTCGATTTGGTACTAGAGGCAGATGAGAATTGGCGGAAAGGTAGACTGTAAATGGTTACTCAAACTTCGTAGCACGTTTCAGAGCTGATCATTTAAATAAAGTAAAAAACTTCTGCAGCAAAGCCATTGCTAAAAAGATTAAAGTAAGTTCTGACCGCTGTGATTCTGACTTTTAGGAAAACAAAGACAGTCCGGATTTCGAGTCTGATTTGTTTGATGTCGTATTTGATCGCCTCGACTCACTTGTGGAAGCTGATTTACAGGTAGGACTGTTGCTCGTCACTATGTTTTAGTCCTTGAGCGTAGCACAGTTAAAGTCGTTGTCCTGTCTCATTGACGAAGAAATAAAGAGAAATGCGTCTATTGTAACTGAGTTCGAGTCTGTAAGACAGCAGCAATTGTATGAGATTGGTAATCTCCTACACCCAGATGTACCGATAAGCAACAATGAGGTATGTTTTACTGAGATGCGATTGTTCGAAAAATGTTAGTCTTTTTCTGATAGTGTTTAAAAGTACTTTTTCATGCTTCTTTCCAATATGGCAGTGTTGAAACCGTGATAGTGTCCGTAATTGAGGGCATTTCATCTAGATTTTCGTTGCTAACCCGCTCAAAACAAAAATTTAATATCTATTTTCCAGTCCCATGTTTTATGTGATAATAACTAAAGTTAGTGTGCCAATCCCAATGTGTTTATTTATGGTTTCCATAGCTAACAAATCATAATTTAACATATTCTATCTCTAAAGGTCTAATTTCGAGCTGTAATACCAGCCGTCTGGTATTGAATTGGTAGTTCTGCGTAGTATTTAAGTGTTAATTTAGTTGCTTAAGTCAGTTGGTCATCAATAGCATAGGACTTGGCATGGCCGTACATTTTTCCATTGGTTTATTGTTGTTATCCCTCAATTTACCATATAAAACGTACACATTTTTCGTCCGAACTGCTAGAAAAATAGTGCGTGATAATCAGTGATTGGTAAACAGCTTTCATATATGGTCATTGTTGTTTCACAATTCATGATACTGATATAGTGTCGGCAATTTATTCATATTGTTAAGATATGAGGCACTTAAATGGCTACTCGAAAGTAAATATGACAATATGTGGTTATACGGTAATTCCTGCGCAAGTTGAAAAGGTTTCCGTAAGAATTATTCGGTGGAATCAAGCATAGGTCTCTGGGAGCTTTATTGTCTTCACACGATTTCCAGTATACTGGTGTGTATTATATATATTTCTTTCGGACTAGTCTTATTCCGAGAATCCTTTAGCAATGATGTAATTAGAAACTTAGTAATACATTTTAGTCCTTTTACTCTACTAAGTTCACTTTTCTAATTAGTTTGTATAAACTATCCGTAATTTCAAGTAGTAGATTGATCCCAATAGCATCAACATCATCCCCTCTACTTAAATTCGAACTATCAATGTTATAAGAACACTTATTTTCTCACGAATATGATTATTTCATATCAAATTATCTCTACACGTTTTTATTGTCATGTTGTTTTATTCGTTACCTTCGACGTAGTCCACTCTGTTCTTTGTTGCTGCCAAACATTATCTTTGAAAATAGAAGTCGTGCATAGGTTGAAGGTTTCTGACCACAGATATCTATGAAGCATTACTCGCGTTTCATGCAACCACCTAGTGAGCGATGTTGGTGTTGAGTATATTGTATTTGGTAAAGGTTGCGTTAATTCCGTTCATTAGCTGAAGACCTTACGGGGCACTGCCCGAAATCGGTATCATAGTGCAGTAGTATTCATAAATCCTTTCCTTATGTCGTGGGTTTCAATATTCATTCTCTCTATCCACTTGTTATTTTGAAGCATTTTCTTTACGTTTGATTCTTCGCTTTCATATATACTATTTCTATATCTATCCCTTTTAATTTTACCTTTATATGTTCTCCCGTACTGAAGTGAGGTGTGTTAAATTGATCTATTGCACATTTGTGCTCGGTCTATGAAAAAATGGCTCTATCAACTTAGCTGCACAATTATTGCCTCATTACGATATTGTGTAAATGTACGTGGTTGGTATTTTTCACTACTAGTGGTTCATTTGGCGCTCATTTGAAATATTTGTTTTATGCATATATTCGTTTAATTAGGAAGACAATTTGGTTATTCGAACTTTCGGAAAGAGCGATTTTCGAAAACCTTTATCTCATGTCGATTTAGTGACGATGGTAGATGGTTTTGACGGTGAACGTGGAAGTATAGTAGCTGGAGGTCGTGGATATTTCCTAAAGGTTAGTACGTATATGCGATTTTCTAAATCTTGCTAGCATTGAGTTGCACGTTATTGATGCCGCACTAAATGGTTTTAACCTATCAGGTGTTTTTCTACCTGAAAGGTCTTACTAATAAGTCATCTATTATTTGTTGTTGTTTACACCATTCTCATATGGTTATCTAATAACGCACATAATCCCAAAATTTGGACGAGTTATCGAACTATATAAAATTGCCATATACAAATTTGTGAGTGTTCCGAGGTTTTTTCACTCAAAATTAGTGTACTCAAGGATACACATACAAAAATAAATAGGTGCCAAACATTGAATTTTATTTTCGACCTTAGAGTCCATTTCCTCATTGGTTGTGCTTTATTCCATAGTAAAGACTAGTTTTTGAAATTATACCTTTGCCATTTTTAGTTTTTAAACTTTATTTACTATTATTAGCTATGAAAATCTAACCCTTGTTAGGAGTGGTAGTGGCATTAGATTAATTAAGCTATTTAAGTGTTTCAAGATTATCTACGAAACACTGCTCTAGCACACTTTATAGTTCTGTCTGTACGTCCAGCACCAAATACATGGATTAACATTAGCTAACTTTTGTGTCGAAAAGCTCCTTGTCTCAACAGTGTATACTTATATCCGCCGTTGGGTCTCCCAGCAAATGTGTTACGATTTAGTCATTATTGATTTCAATTGGTAATTTTAAACACAGAAATATGATTTTAAGTGTTGTTTTCCTTCAGGTAATTGGTTAAAACATGAAGATTTCTGAGTCGTTCTGGACAAAATTATGATACTCTAACACTTACGCTATTTTTTGATATCAGCTTATTCGGGTTCATTAAGTCAATAATTTAGCTTTTCGTAAGTTATCTCACGGAACACTTCAGATAAATTTGTATAGTCAATCGGCCAACCAAATAAATACTAATCCAGAATTCTGATATTTGTGTTAAATTACTATTGGCGTTCGTTGATCCAGGAACATTTTTATACTGTTTACTACTGAATATTTCAAATAATTACGGTTGTTCCTAACATCTTTGTCCCTGGGATCATCTGTGGAGAAAAAATCGTAAACTTTGGTTTCATTATTGTTTTTTGTTCTTCTGTTTCCTAACTCCTATCTGACTCATTCACAAGTTGCCATGTTTGAAGGGATTACGAGATCACCTAAAATTGGCGAACAGAACAAAGGGTCAGCGACACAGCGACAAAACAAGTTTAACTATTCCGATGCGTTTCAGCTCTGCTAACTAGAGAGAAAAAACCCTGTTCAGATGCAGGAAAGTTATATTCCACAAGCAGCCAGAAGCACAAGCAACAACAACCACACACCTTAAGCGTATATATACAGCATTATTTTTGTCTTACTCCTATTTTCCCATAGTCTTTCATCTTACAAGATATTTAACTTCACCTTTTTTACCCGGATTTATACTGACTTTTTTAGTGATTACTTTATATTTACATAAAGAATATCAACTTTTATGCTGCTCTTTTTACAGGGCCCTCTTGTTTTCCTGGAACAAGCAATCATAAACTTAGCTCTACAAATGCTAGATGAACGTGGTTATACGCCACTGTACACTCCATTTTTTATGCGCAAGGAGGTTATGCGAGCAGTCGCTCAATTAAGTCAATTTGACGAAGAGTTATACAAAGTAAGTCTTCAGATTGCATCGTAATATGAATCTTTGTTGTTGTGTCTAACAGAATGAAAATACGTTAACTTTCATTTATCTAATCCATAGTTTTAGTTGCGTTCAATAAGTGCAATGAATCATTCTCAATTTTTTATTAAAACCCATTAAAAGTCAATACAGAGATAAAATCGTCTAGTTGTTCACAATAATTTATTGTAGTTTTCTGAATTTTATACAGCTAGTTCCATTTGTTAGTCATTCTTAGCTCTATAAGAAAGCTTTATATGATACCTAAGAGTTATGTTCAATAGTCTAATCAGATTATAAACTGTTGCGAGCTGTCTTTTGACAGTAGATTAGTGATTAAATGACTCGTACTTCAGCCGTTAGGATACGCTTTCAAGTCTAGCCCCACCTTCTTTTGTTTGCATAGCCTGATACTATTGATAGGTTCTACACTAACAGTGTTTATAGCTTAACGTCCACTATAATAACCGATACTTGATTGCTAGATTGTATTGATACTATTATAATCCCAGAATCCACTACTATTAATTCATTAAAAATATCAGTTGTTTTTCTTAGGTCTTCGCTTCATGCTGTAATCCCGTAATATCATTCCATGGGTATTGAATTTATGAGTTAATGCTCACATCACCAAGTGATATGGGTATGTAGAAGTATCAAGTGTAATAATTGATGATGAAACATGATAACGCATTTAAATCATACATTTCTATTTTTCCAGTTCACCTGGATGGTCCTTAGTCATGTGAGTTTTGTCTCCATCAAATATTAGTATTTAGCAGTGTGATGAAGTCTGGATTATATTTCAAAGGTACTACAGTGTCAGTTATTTGCCATGTGAATTTAGTCTAGTGGCTTAGTGATCTGGACACATGCCATCGAGCTATTAAGCCACATGGCTCAGTTGAAATGGATTTACTGTATTTGCTATCCCATCCTGCATATATTAAATGTGGTTATTTTTCCGTATATGTAATTATTAGATCTAACTGAATTTACACTTATTTTCACTTCTCCAGGTTACCGGGCGTCGTGAACTCAATGCCACAACCAATCATGATTTGCAAGCAAATGAAAATGAAGAGGAAGAGAAATATTTGATTGCAACATCTGAACAACCAATCGCTGCATTTCATCAAGATGAGTGGTTACCCATTGATCAATTACCGATTAAGTATGCAGGGATCTCGACTTGTTTCAGACAAGAAGTTGGTAGTCATGGTCGTGATACTCGTGGAATATTTCGTGTTCATCAGTTCGAAAAAGTATGTTGATTGTGTTTGAATATAGTCATTTTATTGCGGTTAATTCACCTAGAATATCATTTAGCGTTGAAATTGATTGTTCAAGAATTAATTTTCGGTTGCAAGTTTACATACTGTCAGTCAAGTTAAACGACATTTATTAGTGTCGTATAACTGTAAATTTATTCCTGTTATCTTTCAACCATTTACTTGTAACGTTAAATTTACTGACTATTACTACCTACTTAGAAATACTTCCATTCTTCTGAAGTGCAGAAAACCTCGAATTAATCCACGTGAACTACAAATCTTCAATACCAATTATAATTGATTGATTATTACAAACTTACTCGATGTCACTGGAATATGGCATTCATAACCGTGCAAATTGACTGATTAACATTGAACGACTCCATTTTCAAATTTTAATTTCTAGTACTATAAGACTAATCTTACAGATTGTTTATGAAGTGGAATTGTTATTGAGTTTTAAGAAAGACTAGTAGTGTCATTATATTCGGTATAGTATACCATTCAAGTCATTAAATGAAAAGGTTACGTTGTACCAACCAAAAATCTGATGATAAGTGCATATGATTGACCAAGAAATGGTTTTATTTTCTAAGTAGACATTATATATAAATAGCACAAACTCTTTTTATTTTATGCCACGTGGTAAGAATTAGTTTACAACTCTGGTTTACTTAATTTACTTTGTAAATACTTTTTTTTTCAAATGGTAGGTTGAACAGTTTTGCATTACTAGTCCGCACGATAATCTGTCATGGGAGATGTTTGATCATATGATTTGTAACGCTGAAGCATTTCACCAGGTTAGTTTACTGTTCTATAAATAATAGATTATCATTAGCGTTATGTTACATTTATTTATTCTCCCTACTCTCGGAAATCGACATCAACTTCTGGTAACTTTTGTTCAGAGTTTATTGTTCTAGCCTTAATCTTTTCTACTCATTGAATAAAGTCGGAAGGTAAACTGTTGTAAACATTCCAAATTGGTTAAATCGAGTAGACATCTTATCTCATGACTTATGGATTATTTAGTGGAAATTATAAAGAAGAATTTTACCTCACTTTTGTTGTCTAATCTGTAAAGTTCAGTACATTGTTTGCTTATTCCGAAAACTTTTTTTGACTAGCTTTCATCCTTCGCAGCGAATATAAAAACTGCTTCAGATAATTTGACTAAAGTGCATAATTTTAAAACATTTCATTGAATTCCTGTTTATTCCTCTTAACATCAGTCGTTCGTAGTTATGATATCAAGTAGATGGATGTGAAATAACCATTTTATCGTAAACTAAGAATGTGACTTGATTAATGAACTTTAAAGGGGCAAGCGTAATAAATTATTTAAATAAAGTATGATATTTGTGATATATCAAATATTTACTGATTAAAATTTTTATATGAGTTACTGGCTCTTATTGTCAAAAATGAAACAAATCAAGCAACAAATGAATACATTTCAATTTACACGGTGATTCTATATATTCAAAAGATTCAAATCTGTCAATAAAGTTTTCTTTTTCTTGTTTACAGGCTCTGAAACTGCCTTATCGTGTTGTTTCCATTGTGTCGGGTGAGCTAAACAATGCTGCATCAATGAAGTATGATTTAGAAGGTTGGTTCCCTGGGTCTGGAGCTTTTAGAGAACTTGTATCTTGTAGTAATTGTTTGGACTATCAATCTCGTCGGTTAGCAATTCGTTTCGGTCAAACAAAAAAAATGAATAAAAGTGTAAGTGGTATTTTTTGTGTTCTTCAGGTTGCTTAATGTAGCGTTTACCTTGTTTAGTATAATTATCGATGAATTTTGTGATGATTGTGTCTGTAGCAAAATCAGCCACTTGTAGTTGTCGTCATAATGAATTTAAGTTTTGTAATATTTCATTCAGTCTGTTACTTATCTTCGCACATATGTGAACTTTTTTGATGCAAGTGAATTGCTCAATTAAAATACATACTTGTATTTAGCTGGTAAATTATTATTATTCATTTTATTATTATTGTCTAAGTATGAAAAGTAATATCTCAATGTACCGTCGAAAAACATCTAAATTAGATGAATCATGTAATAATAAGGCTAGTAAAAACATTAGGGGATACAGTTGGAACATGAACTCAATCAAGTTGATTGTGTTTTTGTGAATTTACACATTTTACTGTTTGTTCAACTTTCAAAAGATAACAGCATAATGCAACTTTTACTTAAATCATAATAATTATCTTAAATTATTGCTTGGATCAAGAGTCTCTTCTTTAAATGATTATCATGCTTGTTTGAAAGTTCTCATTATTGTTTTATTCATGGACTAACTGTTGTCTACAATGACCTAGGTTGAATATGTACATATGCTCAATGCAACGATGTGTGCAACCACTCGAGTTATTTGTGCGATTCTAGAGAATTATCAAACAGAACATGGGATTATTGTACCTGATGTTTTAAAATCATTTATGCCCAAAAGTTAGTGTACTTTTTTGTTATTAATGAAAATACTTTTCAGTGGGCTATAATCCATTTTAAAAAATTCATTCTATGCTTATGATTATATGTTATGTATGATGCTTTCATAATGTGTTTTCTTCAATGTTTGTAAGCTTTAATTCGTTCAACTCAGTAACTAAACTGTCCACTTATGTATTAGGTTTTAAGTCGCATTTTTTGAGTGTTGGTGTTACCGCCAGAGTACTGGAGTCGAAGTACTCTGAAATTTTGTTTTAAATAGTTGAAAGTTGGTTACTTAAACCATTAACCCTCCACTTAGTGTTCATAGTCTTAAAATATTATCACTTCTTACTGAACATTAGTATTTTTAATAGACTATTAAATACATGGAGGTTTTCATTCATCCGAATTATTGCGATATTGTGTATGTATGAAGTGAGATGATGATGTAATTAGCCAGTTTATGCCGTTAATTTTATCAAGTTGTTTCAGTCAATAATTAAATATATCATCTCTCCATCAATCATTTTATTGACATTTACCCATATATTCTCATGTGTTTGTGTATTTGGAAGTGTCTATTATTTACTTTCTTATTGCTTGTAAATGTACTCCGTCGATATTTCGTGATTTACACATATGCGCATATTCGTTCTTTTATATATTCTCTCCTGTTGCATGGTTTGGTTGATTTACGCTTGGTTGTTGAGCTGTTACGTTTTCAATGAAGTAACTTCGATATGATTTCGTATCTGCTTTTGAACTCCTCGTGCTAAAATAAAACTAGTTATTACTTCCGGTTTTATAACCAGATTCGTATAACACTGATTAACTAGTGATGAGCCAACTCATGAACTTGTCACAGCCTACGACGAAACCGCCTACAAAATAATTTGTTTGTCACTAATTTGCAATTATACCTACTCACCATCAGGGTGGATCACTATCTGTATTTAATTAGTGTATTATTACATATTTTGTTTCATAAACTGTGACAATATATCATTATTAACTATCGTAACAATCGCATGAAATCATTACTTATTACACAATAAACATAATAGTAACCTTCCTCTCATTCTCAAACCATATATTCCCTCGTATAACAATTTTGTTCTCCTCTTTAGTCCGTCGACTTTGTCATTTAAAGTCACGTTACGTACATGGTGGATCGTTTAATATAATCTTTTGTGTGTTCTATCGAATATGCTTGCTAGCTTGTCAGTGTCGCTGTCACTGAAATTTAGAGTCTGCTGTACAATTTGCGGCAATTCACATAACCATAATCTATCGAATAAACTACCATCTACTTTCGTACTTCCCAGCAAACTTCACTTGCGATTACTTTGCTATGATGACTTTCTGCCTCCTATTCGTACCTGGATAATTAGTTGGTCGATAACGTCTTGGATACCGCTCTTAAGACTGTCTGTTTCAACGTCAATACGCCTTAGACGAATATCTACACTAGATTCGCTCCCAGTGTTTATGCTACAGGAATTCAACACGACTCAGATCATGAACACGTGATTAACCTGACTAGAACGTAAATATGTTTCCACACCAAAAATCGTCAACAACCCGACACAATCCAACAACAATCAACAATAATAAGGATATGAGAATATATAACTCATTTAACGCCTGTCAGAATATCTACAATTCTGACTAAGCAAACAACCAATCATTATCATTCTCGCCCACACATCAGTAAGTGTGGACTAGTGATATAACTCGTCTTTTTGTCAAGCTTCACGATTGTGCATAAAATAGTACTCAAGCCTAGCGAACCAGAGTTGTGATTCTGCTACTCTAAAAATAGAAATTGTAAGACTATTAGTACGCGTAAAACAGTATTGTAAGAATTGTAAAAGTCTAGCTACAGACTTGATAAAAGGTGGCAAGTAATGTACAATTAATTAGGTGTGACATAAAAAAGCAGATAAATTAATCTTAGTAATAATAATGATAAATAACACAATAATATGAAATAAAGCACATCCCCTGAATATGCACCAATTGATTCGAAACTTAGTGATTTAATAGTACCTTGCCTGTTGGGTAATAGGTGTCGATCCAGGATCGACCTCGTTTAGAATCCCTAATGCTCACTACTGACAAGTGTTAAACTTAAGTAAAACAACTATCCAGTGCTTCTCAAGTTACTGTCTGTTCACGATAAAAAATTACTTTCAAATCGAAATCTAAATTATGTATGTAGAGTAGGCTGCTCATTATAGCACGCTATGGCATTTCCGTACTTGTTTGTGACCAGTAAATCTTACTAATGCTACTGAATACTGCATACTAATCATACAATGAATCTCATTGGGTATAGTTGATTGTCTGATAATCTAATTCATGCATTGCAGTATTTCTTCTAGGTCACTGTCCGTCGGTATCGTCGTCCGAACAATCGTTTTTGTCTGTATAATTCAATGTTCAAACTTTTTTGCCAATAAACTGCTTAAGCAATAAAACTGAATGATAGAATGTTTTTAAGAAACTTAGAATTACGAATTTCTAGACAAACCATTAATACAACTTTTCACTTTTGTATTTCACCCATTGAAGCTGCAATACTCGTTATCTGGTGTCTATACTTGGCTAAATGCGCTATAAGGCATATTATTCGTTTATTGTTAGCGTTGTATTTCTTTTCAGATCAGAACATCTTAGTTAATATTCTTATACGTGTATATTGTAAATACTTCTTTTCTTTAAGTAATGTTGATTTACTGACAGTTTTAATTATTGTAAATTAATTATTTTTTGTTTTATTCATATGATCTATTCGCATACTTTTTATTTAACTTATCGTATTAGAATATCAGAAATTTATACCGTTCAAAGGACATGAAGATAAAATACCTGTCAGCATTAATGATGTGCCAGAGACAATCCACAATTCACCCAATACAAAATTTCACGATGAAACATCGTTCAATGAGCTAAATGAGAAAATAAGTAATTTAACTGGTGTCACAGAATCTGGTCTCGTCAGTGCTATTTCTCAAATATCTGAAGTTCAAAAACGAATTGAAGACACGTTAAATACACTAAGTCTAGTCACCACAAATAATCACGTTGAAAAAGATGTCCGTGACAAAAAATGTGCTATTGTTCATCCTGTAGAAGATAAAAATGACCCTGAAGTTGAAAATAAGGATACAATTGATAATGAGTCTTTGAGTTTACAGTCAACTACTCCAGAACCAACTGATTCTAAGAAGAAGCGGAAGAAAAAACCAAAAAAGAAACAATCGAATTAGAATTTTATTTTACTGTGGTGCTCAGTTAATATTGCATATTAATCATTTGTTGTATTGACTTACACTTGCATATGAATATAAATTTTGACTGTGGTGTTATTTAAACATGAAAATTACATTAATAATCGGATCCATGGTTTGCGAAAGGTATTTTCAGTCATATATGTCAGCTAGCCACGTTTATTATTGCGTTAAAGTTTTAAATTAGATTTCTGTTATCAAGATATTTATGCATATATTACTTCTGAAGTCTGGAAATATTAGGATCCATTTTTTACGTTATAATTGAAGCACAAATTGAATTTGGATAAAGTTATATTTCAAGCCGAAATATTGAATACTCTTAACTCAGTTTGATTCATGTCCCTGTAATAGTTGGTTTAGTATAATCCAAGGTGCTATTTGAAGAAACCTATGAATCGCAACAGTGCACGGTAGTTTTGATCTATATCATAGTTTTGATATACTACCTAGAAATAATTCGAGGCGAATCACTTACGTCAGTTAATTTTTTAAATTTATGAATAATTTCTGTATTTTGTATACATGTTACACTAGTGTATTGTCTTTAACCTTTATGATTATAGTTTGTTGTCTGTTACTCTGTTTAAGTGTCTTCCCCGACCGAAGCTGCTACCTTGACGCGGTGGTCGGGCTTGCCTATCGTGATGACCCAACCGAGCTATATTGGCTGGAACATATGTTCCTGTAGGTTCTACCATGCCAGGCAGGTCGATTGGAGAACGGTAAGACTAAGAACAGCAACTCAAGGTCTGACGGCGAAGTCGTACTGCTGACTGTAGAGGGGTATGACAGCAGTAAGGTGTTTTCCTCGAACATCTGTAGCGATGCTGCCTTCTTACAAGGAAGGAAGTGGTTAGAAATGATTGACCCTAAAAATGTCACACCTCACCTTACCTCACGGATTTCCGTCTCCGGCGGTAAGGCCCTTTGAAGAACGGAACTGACACATTAATAACCATCCACGAAAGGACCGTGCGCGACCGGCTTCAAGCAGTTGTTCCCTGAACTCTGCGGTCACGCTCCCAGATCGTTAAGACCAACACTAATCCAATTTCCTTTTCAGAAATACCCTTCCACGGTGTGGGCAGCCGGGAAGTGACATCAGCCTTCATACCCGTAACAGCGCACGAAACCAAGTTGATCACATTCAAATCCTTCCTGTGACTGACTTAAGTGTATTCACGCATTTGCTCCTGATCAATGTGAACGACATACTGAAATTTTTAAAAAGACATTTACTTTTGTTTAAAGCTTCTGAGAAGCATTCAGCTTTTGACTTTAATGAAAACGTGACATGTGTTTATCATTGAAAAATATATTGTATATGTTTCATGAAAATGAAGTACAGATTTCCTACTTCAAATAGTTATTGAAAGCCTATGTATTACACCTCATGAAATACTGTGAAATAAGTTATAAATGTTTCAATAATGACTGTTTACATGAGATATGTGATCAAATGAATTTATAAGATCTATCAGAATTATTTGTCACAAACGATGAACTTTATATTTGTTACTAAGTACTGATTTCTCTGAATTTTGAACTTTCTTATGGCGCGTTTCGAACATTCATTTTGAATACAAATTCGTTGATAAAACAAATAAATTAGGTTTGTAAATATTAATGTGATCAATACCGGGATATTAATCAGCTAGTGAGTTAACGAGTAAGATCACATTTGACTTATGATTTTTAGGATATTAGTTGTACTAACTGAATAAATAGCAGTGATTCTATATGACTAAAAATTTTCATGGACAGTACAGTTCATAGATGTCGCTTAATTATTAATTTAGAATACTTGAACAATTGATCTACATCGTTCTAATATTAATACGTGGGGGTTATTCATGCAACAAACAGCCTTCCAAAAGTATTTATGTAAGTCATATACCATGGATCAATCAATTGTTCTTGACTGAACTCTATGGAATCATATTAAATTTGTTTAGTAATTTATGTTGTATATGAGGACAAAAATGCGTCTAATGGCTTATGATGCGATCAAGAGTTTGTAACTTGGAATGTTTTCATCATTAGATTATACCTTTTAACAATTTTTGGCTCAGTCAACTCAATTGTATGTGTGTTTTATATACAAGTGTCCCTTACAGTTCCGTTTTCTAAACTACTGTAATAAAATACTGGTGTTACTTTGAATGTACAGGGCTTAATTGTGAGTTGTTTATTACTTTTACGAATTCATATAGTTTTATCTAGATAAATCATGTACATTCTGTAGGAGAGAAAGTCGTCAAAATGTAAGATAATCAATGCTTATAGTTTTACTTTAGCAACTTCCATGTTGATCAGACGAGATAGTAGCAGTTTGTCACTTTCAGAAAATTTGATTATATAGTCAAATATAAATAAATAACATTTATTTTATGCTGTAAGTCTCAAAAATCATTTAGAATATGAAATCTATTTCGATGCGATAATTTCATGTTTAATCTTTTGAAGAGAAATGATGTTTTGCTTAATGCAACAGATTATTCATACATTTATTTCATTTATAAATATTGCTATATTTCAGTGCATAAACTGAACATTAACATTTATAAATCGGTGGTTTGTTTAGACGTATTGTTTTTGATTATGCTATTTCATTCTTTATTGTTTTGAATATCGTTAATTGAATGCATTTAAGTGAATGCCAAGAAATCTATCAGTATAATCAGTAAAAATGTAATCACAAAGTGTAGTGTATAACGTTTAGTTCCTATGAATTAATCGCAGTTTTTTCTAGTGATGAGTGTAAATGGCCTCACCACCACCGCTATAAATGTCAACAGGTACATTGTTTACACGCAAAACCTTTCTTCTGAAATAAAAGGTTATTAGAGAAGCTGATCTTCCTTCATGTTATTCAGAAAAATAGCATTTTAATTGTAGAAGATTGCCTACAGTGGTTTTCTTCCAACACTTGAACTAATTCGTATCTTTTATTTTATGTTGTATTATTTCATTTAGGCTATTCTAAATGATTTTAATACGATATTTGTATTCGAATACCAAATTAAGTTTGTAATTAAATAACTTATTTAACTGAATTAGACATAACCACCTGATCAAATTATTGGATATTTCTAATACCGGCATGATAGTGATTTTTCGACTCTGACATTTGTTGTGCCCCAACGAGAGCTAGTCTGTCCTGGGTACATCCTAAATTTGGTTAGAATTTATTGTTCGTATATCTTCACCGCCTTGAATAATCGCAGAAGTCAGTCAGTCAGTAACAACGTAGAACTTCGTATGTACGTACATCAGTTCGAGTTGCCACACCACATTAGCACAGAGATGATGCAGTTGTCGATTCAAATCCTGTAGTGGTAGAGGTGGTTAGAGTGTAAGCAGTAATCGGAAAGACTAGGGTTTGAAGATATTATTCAAGGAGTATAATCCAGTGAAATAAATTTGGAAAGAGGAAAAAAAGGAAATGAAGAATTCAGAAGATTAGAATTTGGAAGAACACAAATAGTGGATGCACCTGCGCCATCGCGAACTATTTTGAGCCATGTCATTCAGGGTCTCTAACCATCTCGCGGTCCCCAACCAGGTAGTCTACACCTACCAACATGGCTCAGTCCATTTATCAGTGACTTCATGGACTTGTGCCATGTTTTGGTCTGGCCGCCCCTAGCTTTCTTCCAACGTACTCTTACACCATGAAACATCGCACATCGAGGCAGTCGTTGGTTGGGCATACCTAACACATGTCCCAGCCATTTCAACTGATGAAGTTTCATTACTTCATCAATTGATTTACCATCCTTACCTAGTACCCGCTTCCTAACAACTGCGTTACTTACTGTTAGGATGTTCAGAAAAATATACCAATAGTTATCATGTTAAGTCTAATGTTGTCCTTGGACGCTAAATGTACATTCCCTATCGGTCGATATTTGCTTCACTTGTTTAATATTGTGTAAATGTTGTTTTCTATTTTTATGGTACGATGTGGTTTGCTTGGTTGGTATATAAACATAGTGTGTTTGAAATATAATGATTCATATCTCAGAGGCTGTGACTTGCGTTCTGGACTTAACTGGCTGTTGTGGACAGCGAAGCAGGGCCAATCGGGACTCTAGGTCGTTCGTACGTGTTTACGTGTCATTATTCCGATCGATATAAACGCTGCTTACCAAAACATGCAGTCACCCGTTTCAACACTTACTCGTTGGTCCCAGGATGTACGAGCAATGTTTCGAAGACACCTATGATCAAATACTAGTAACCTACTAATACGCCATAAATGACGCAAGTTGGCAAAAGCTAGTTGAACCTTCTGTATACGTGCTGAGATTTCGTCACACACTAGACCACAAGGGCTTATGAGACTTTCAACATAAGTGAAGCGGTCGACACGCTCAACCACTTCACTCCCTATCATTAGCTCGGGTGTCGATGCAACCCAATCCTGAAGCAACATTTTGCATTTCGAGGGAGAGAATCCCATGCTGAACATGCTTTCATTGTTGCTTATAGTGATCAGAAGACTGCATTTTGTCAGCGTCTTCACCAAATAAAACTATGTCATCAGCATATTCTAAGTCAACAAGTGGACCTCCCGGTAGAAGTTCAACCCCTGGAAATCTAACGAAGAAAGTGTAATCTCTAAAAGTACGTCGACCACAAAGTTGAACAAGAATGGAGAGTGGACAGCCCTGACGAACACCACTTGAGCTAATCAATTCTGATGACAGTTCACCATAAGCTCTCACTCGACCAGTTGTGTTCTGGTAGAGAGCCTTTAAAAGGTTAATGTACTTCTTTGGTACTTCTTTCAGTGGCAAATACTTCCACAGAACCTTGCGATCAACAGAGTCGAATGCCGCTTTAAGGTCGAGAAGTACTATGATTGTGGGACGTTTGAACGTGTGTCCGTGTTCTAGAACCTGACGTAGTGTGAATATCTGATCTATACAACTACGTCTAGGTCGAAAACCAAACTGATTTCCTCTAGTCTGCTCCTCACGAGTTTTGGTTAGGCGTCGAAGTATTATTGAAGCTAATGTTTTAGACACTATATTAGTCAAACTGATTCCTGTGTGATTGCCGCAAGAGGACTTTTGTCCTTTCTTATAGACTAGCACAATCAGTGATTGAGACCAATCAGGTAGGATTACGTCCAGTTTCAAATTTTACCCAAGATCTCAGTTAATCTCACTGCTAATACTGAACCACTATCCTTAAAAATCTAAGGGGTAAACCTGTCAGGGCCTGCTGCTCTCCCTCGCTTCAGACTTTTTATAGCTTTTTCAACTTTGCAAAGAGTTGGAGGACTTACATTAAATTGCCATTCAGGTTGACTGGAGATCGGGGGAAACCGAAGTGTGTCTGAAGGCCAGTTGAACTGATCCCTAAAGTGTTCTGCCCATCGATCCAATCTCCTGGATTGAGAATGTATAATATGTCCATCTTTCTCTGAGAGTGTTTCGCTAACAGTCCGGTTCCTAATACTGGTTT